TACTATGAAGCTTCAAGGTGAGCAACAATGGTGGATTTTGTCTTCTACAATGATTAAATTGAATAATTCCAAGCTAATAATTGAGAACTAACTAATGATTTGAGAATTTAATGTTCTAAGACTACAAACTAAGAGAAAAGCTCTAAAAAAAAAACTGTCTACCTCCCTCAAATGAGCTCTAAAGGGGTACTTATATGACCCCCAAATAAAAAGGACGGAGAAAACAAGGAAGGAGTTCGACTGCAGGTCTGCACGGACGTGCCAGATTTGGCACGGACGTGCAAGGCTAAGCACGGCCGTTCCAAGTTCGGCACGGACGTGCAGAGGGGGCAGAATTGAGGCAGAACGTACTGCTAAGAATAGAGCAGTTCCGCACGGACGTGCGGAAATTGGCACGGTCGTGCAGCTACATCCGTGCAGGCCTTGGCAGAATGTTCTGAGTTTCTGGAGCACTCCTGCACGGACGTGCAAAGTCTGGCACGGCCGTGCACCCTCTTCTGCACGGACGTGCCAGATTAAGCACGGCCATGCAGGCCTTGGCAGCTTGCTGAAGCTTTCTGGAACCTCCTGCACGGACGTGCAAGGTCTGGCACGGCCGTGCAGGGTCTTCTAAGCCCCTTTTTTCATCTTTTCTTCTATAATGCTCCTTTCCTTGGCTTCTTTCATCCATCTTCTTGCTTCTAACCTCGGCTTTGTATCCATGGGCTCCATTTGGTCGTTCTTTTAAACCTAAAATCTCAACAAAAACACCAACAACCCGTGAAGCATAGGATACACAAAAATTGCATAATAATAGAGTAAAAATGAACCAAAACGCAATTTTTATCAAGTAAACTAGGTTCAAAACACCCTAAAATCGTATCAAATAGCAAGTTATCAAATGCCTTGGATAAAATTGAGATAGATTCTGACACTACCCCTGAGGGATTAGCCAACTTCCTCACAAGTGATCTTCCTAGTCCAATTAATATGATAACCTTTTCTGACAAGGATTTACCCCAAGAAGGTGACAAACACTACAAGGCATTAAACCTTACAGTAGTTTGCAAGAGTATGAATGTTCCTATGACTCTTGTAGATAATGGATCGGCCATCAACGTCTGTCCACTTAGAATTGCGAGGATGATAGGCATAAGGGACAAAGATTTAACTCCGTCTACACAAGGAATAAGGGCCTATGACAACACTCGTCGTCAAGCTATTGGCAAAATTACTCTGAATGTAACGACGGGAGCAATAGAACATGCTACTACTTTCCAAGTAGTAGACATTAAAGCTTCGTTCAATTTGTTTTTGGGACGCCCTTGGCTTCATGACCTAAAGGCCTTCCCCTCATCTCTCCACCAACAAGTAAAAGCTATAGTTGGGAGAATTCCTATCACCATCGATGCTTCGCCTATGAGGATCAAATCTATAGAGAATCCAATCATTAATGTGGAGCACGACGAGGATGATGAAGATTTATGGGGCTTTAACGAAGAAGTCTCCTTAATCCAGGAGGATGAAAGGACCCCTCTTTGCCATGACCCCCATTCCAACATGATTGTAAACGCCATGCTGAAGAAACAAGGACATTTTCCTGGGATGACCCTAGGAAAGAAGAAAGGAATGGCAAAATCGCTGGAGTCACCTGGCCTCCCTAAGTTAGACACTTTCGGACTTGGTTTCGAACTGACTCGGAAAGATCTCAAGCGAGCCTAGGAAAAGTCAAAGGCATGTAGAGACGCTCGCATTCAAACGAAAGCAATTCCAATGGATCAGTACCCTCTTACACTTAATGGTCAATTTATAAAAGAGGGAGAGGACTATCCAGGCCATGAATTTCCCGAGCCATCCGTTGTAAACGACATAAGACAACCGGGATTCGAAATTTTCTTGGATTGTTATTTCACAGATGAAATCCCAACTCCTATCCACAAGGAGAAAGCACCCCCATGCTTTGACTTTAACGTCATGGGATTACTGTTTGGGCGAGAAAAGAATGATCCAACTTATAAAGAGGATAACTCCTCGCTCATTCAAACAGTCCTACAAAGCGAAAGCTTCGATCCCTCGAATTAATCACTCCAGCTGAAGGATCACTACAAGGGTGGCGCAAAACTATCAAAGTGACTACTCCAAACGGAAGGAAGATATCCATTACAACAGGGCAAGGAACGATGTTTGAAGAGTCGTCTGAGTCAGAGTCTGATCAGAGTCCTTCCCCCTAGAGTCTTCTAAGTCTTTAGTAGTAGCACCTTCCCCTCCTATTTATTCTCCTAGAATAGTTAGTGATCAAGTCCCTGAGGACATATCACTCTTTGATGTAATGATCTCGGAGTATAATAATATTTCTCCTTCTCCTTATTTCTCGTGTTCTTCTCTAACCCAAGATGACGAGCATTGCTTAACTAACAATGAAAAAGACAAAGAAATTATTAAAGCAATGGAAACACTCGAAAAGAAAACACTGGCAATTGAAGAAACTGAAACGGTTGACATCTCAAATGATTCAACCCATAAAAGAGAAGTTAAAATCGGATTAACACTGAATAAACAAGAAAGAACCGATTTAATTAACTTACTTAAAGAATTTATCAATGTATTTGCTTGGTCATACGAAGATATGTCAGGCATTAATAGAGAGATAGCTCAACACACTATACCACTAATTCCAGGAATGAAACCCGTAAAACAAAAGTTACGTTGAATGAAACCCGACGTAGCTCTTAAAATAAAAGAAGAAGTTCAAAAACAAATAACGACAGGTTTAAACAAGGTATCCAAATACCCCGAATGGGTTGCCAACGTCGTCCCAGTTCCGAAGAAAGACGGAAGGGTAAGAATGTGTGTCGACTATCGAGATCTAAATAAGGGAAGTCCAAAGGACGAATTCCCTTTGCCACACATCGATATTATGGTAGATAACACGGCAAATCACGCGCTCCTCTCGTTCATGGATGGGTACGCAAGTTACAACTAGATTCTCATGGCAGAAGAAGACATGGAGAAAACAACTTTTATAACACCATGGGGCACTTACTACTACACGGTAATGACATTCGGGTTGAAAAACGCGGGTGCTACTTACCAACGTGCGGCAACTGCCTTACTCCATGACATGATGCATAAAGAAGTCGAGGTATATGTCGACGACATTATTGTAAAATCAAAAGACCGTCCAGGACACAAGTAGCCTTAAGGAAGTTTTTTGAAAGGCTAAGAAAATATAGTATGAGGTTGAATCCATCTAAGTGCGCTTTTGGAGTCACCTCAGGCAAGCTGTTGGGATATGTAATAAGCTCTAGAGGAATAGAGGTAGACCCAACCAAGATCAAAGCAATCATGTCAATGCCACCGCCCAAGACTGAGAAACATATTCGAGGATTTATTGGCCGGTTGCAATACATAAGTAGGTTCATATCAAAGTTGACGACAATATGTGAACCAATCTTTAAAAAGCTCAAGAAGAATGTACCAGTGATATGGGATGACGAGTGTCAAAAATCCTTTGAAAAGATCAAAGCCTATCTCGCAAATCCTCCCGTATTAGCACCAGCACTTCCCGAAATACCTCTTAGGTTATATTTGACGGTTACCAAAGAGACAATGGGAGCTATGCTAGCACAAGAAGTAGAAGGCAAAGAGAATGCAATCTACTACCTAAGCAAGAAAATGCTCGAATACGAAACACGCTATACGCCACTCGAGAAGTTGTGCCTCGCCTTGGTGTGGGCCACAACCAAGTTAAGACATTACATGCTAGTGCATACCGTCTTCGTAGTCTCCCGACTAGATCCACTCAAGTATCTATTTGAGAAATCTACACTCAATGGACGCATATCGAGATGGATAGTTAATCTAGCCCAGTTTGATGTAAGGTTCATGCCACAGAAAGCTATCAAAGGATCCGTGGTGTCAGACTTTCTAGAAGATTTTCCAATAGAAGACTCGACGCCAATACAAGACAACGAATTTCCAGACGAAGACCTAATGGTTACTGAAGATGATACTTGGACCTTATACTTCGACGGAGCCTCAAACCAAATGGGATGTGGCGTTGGAGTATTACTAGTATCACCTAAAGAAGAGCATGTTCCAATCTCTATAAAGCTCGATTTCGACGTTATCAACAATGCTGCTGAATATGAAGCATGCGTGGTAGGCCTTGAAACAGCTTTGGCATTGGGAGTAAAAAGGTTAAGGATATTCGGAGACTCTTCCTTGATCATCAATCAAATATCCAAAAGATGGAAAGTAAGGAGCGAAAGTCTAGCCCCTTACCAAACCTATCTGGAAACTCTTACCGATCAGTTAGAGAAGGTAGAATACACATATCTACCTAGGGAAGAAAATCAATTTGCTGATGCTTTGGCAAGACTAGCCTCAATGGTTAAGATTCCCACGGAAATCGAGCAAATGCCTCTAACCATAGAAAAAAGGCACAAACCGGCATACATCCAGGCTATAGAAGACAAAGAAGTAGTCCAACGCGAAGAAGAAGAGGAAGAGGAACCATGGTACACAGATATACTTAATTATGTCACCAAAGGAAAATACCCTCCCCATGCTAACAAAAGAGCAAAACGAGCATTAAGGCTTTTGGCTTCCCAATATGTACTCATAGACAACGAGCTACATAAAAGGGTACCTAAGGGTCGAGCTCTCTTATGTGTAGGAAAAAAGGATGCACAAAGAGCAATGAGAATAGTCCACGAAGGAATCTGTGACACTCATATAAATGGCAAAATGTTGGTCCAGAAAATAATGCGAGAAGGATATTATTGGATTACAATGAATAGGGATTGCCATCAATATGTAAAAAGATGCCCTAAGTGCCAAATTTATGCCAATTTACAACATGTTCCTCTATCGTTGCTCTACACCTACACATCGCCATCACTACTACAAAAACAGTTTATTAAGGCGCATTGGTAGCCGCGCAACATGTTAATAGTGCTGAAATATGCACTTTCCGTGTAAAATTAGAGCGCTTATTAAAAAGCACTGCAATATAGCGTTGTTACGGCCAAAAAAAACCGTGCCACTTAGTTTTTTTTATTTTGTGAAATATTTCAAAACTCCCACGACTCCCACTATACTTCTGCAAATCCCTAACCTATCACTACTGAAAATATGAAATTGCCCCAATTGTGCGCTCATCAATCTCCCTAATCTCTCTGAATATCATCCTCAAATTTTTACTTGACGAACCATAAACATTTAATTCGTTTTCTTTTTGCTGAATTTTCCCTTTTAATTTGCCCAATTCGTCAATTTTGTTTGAGAATTTTAATTGACCCATACAAATTCAAAATTCTCATTCTAAGGTAAAGCTTTTCTCATAATTTTTTGTTTTTCTATTGAATTTCCCCTTTTAATTTACTTAAATTCTCTGTTTTGCAAATTAATTTACACGATTTGCTGATTTTTTGCCGGGTTTTGTCAATTTCTAATCTTTATATGTTTATTTCGCCAATTCCAATTGCAATTTCCTGAATTAAGCTCAGTTTTGCCCATCAATTTCGGCTATAATTGCAGATCTAATTTCAATATTCTCGAAAAAATTCTTGTCAAAAAGAAAGAGATCCAGAAAAGAGGCTACTTTCAGGTACGTTTATTGCATGTTTATTTAGATGTAATTTCGTCTATGTAATGCATATTTTCTCAGCAATTTTTCATCAATAGAAGTGTTTAATGTTTCATGTTGCTTATCATGTGCTGTGTTTAATTTCTTTGGCTATCAATTTTGTAATTATGTATTCTTGAGTGTTTAATTCAATCTTTAGTATATACCCTGATTACTCATGTCTCATAATTCTGTATAAGTAATGAAATTAATAAGGTCCAATGATATATCTCAATCAAATTGAATATGAATTAAACCAGTATGATTAGATTCTCAAAACATCATGTCAATGAAATTAAACTTGGTCGTTTGACACCTTTAAGCCATTAGACATATTGTTTCTATCATAGTATGTTAGTTTTCATCCACCTCAAACATGAGACAGATTGTATTAAGAGTCCTTTACTTTGCAATTTATAGGCTTACTACATGTTTAATGCATTAGTAACTACACTGTACTTCATTTCACACACCCCCCCCCCACAAAAAAAAAAAAAAAGAAAAAAAAAGAAAAATGTAGAGTAGTTAACTTGACTATAGAGTCTGTGGGCATTTTTTTACGATTGGATTTGTGGAGTTTGTGATATGTATCTTCTAGCCTATCCTCTAGCCTATTTTAATTATGTGTCAGTTGGTTATATAATATTGGTTGGTATCCTAATTGCCTATACACAACTATATAAGATATGTTATTGGAGATAATCCAACAAAACTAGATGCAAAGAATAAAAGGGTAAGAAAAAAGATTACATGGAATAGATTGTTGATTTGGGAAGAGCCTAGAAATATAGGAAGTAAATGGATTTATGATATATAGCTTTAGAGAAGGCTAGTGTTCATGTATGTGGGCATGAATTCTTGACATGATATATTTGTAAGTAAAAAGTTGCTGCTCTAATTCTTTTCTTTGACTTGTTGTTCTCCTTTATTTTTTTTGGGTCAAAAATCTCATCGGCTTCTGATATAATAAGAACATGAGCCAAGCCTTTTGGAGAAAAACTTGTATTTTAATCTCAAGTGATATTTCTGTAATCCTAGACTAGGGTGTATATATATATATATATATATATATATATATATATATATATATATATATATATATTACAATCTGGTGTTTCACATGGTATGATATAGGACAAGAATCTTAAAGGTTAGTGCTTATAGGTGTCAAGGGATCAAATTTCTTTTCTAAAGCTGCAGTAAGACTAGTAAAGCACTGCATTCTCGATATTTGGGGGTGGGGGGTTGAATTTTAATTTGTAATTATAAAAATTCAAATTGTTGGTAGTGTATAAGACATCCTCAACCCAAAAGAACGTATTAAAAACCAAAGAAAGAAGTCTACATTAGGCTAAAATATCTTCTTAATTTAATTCATTTAAGCTACTTAAAGTTATTAGATTATTTGAAAATTATATCTACTATATGTTATATCGTGATTGCCTTTTTCCTTTTCGCCTAATAAATTAAACTCATAAACATTTCATTTTCCAGTGTTGTTCATTTTCCGTCTCCTAGTTACATAAGTTGCTTATTTTTCTTTGGTATGATTACTTACTAGAATCATATAAAAGAAATATGTTGTGTGAACTTGGAAAACTTAATTAAGGATCGTACTAATCTGGTTACAATTTTTTTTCATTACTTTTAAGTGAAATTGGTTGAACATTGTCGTTTGCGAAATTCTAAATTAACACTTTTGCATATTTCATTGACGATAATGTTAGTAATGTAGGAACTATTAATTAATACTTTGTTTAATGTTGGGAATGTCTCTTTCATCTTTGAGTGTTTAATGTTGGGAATGTTAGTAATATGTATGTAGTAATTTTCCAGGTTTGATTTCTTATTATTGATTGGTACATTTGCGCCTTTTAACTTGATGATATGGAGTTGATAACTTTTCTTCTTTGTTATTTTTGTAGGATGTTGAAGCTTCTCCCAGAGCTAACAATGACACTAATCGTAGAGATTAGTTATTGCGTTACCAAGGTTAGATTGGTTATTAAATGTCTTACATTTTTTATTTTTTATTTTTTATTCATCATATAATAATTTTTAATATAGTAGTTGACTATTTGTTTTCACTCATGCAGGGTATGCTTTGGCAACTTCAAAGTTGGAACATGAAAGCAATTTTAAAGCATCAATATTTAGTCTTATAAAATAAATCTTATATTGGCATAGATTTGGTTTTGGCATTAAGTACATTCTAGCTACTGAACGTTTTTTTTTTTTTTTTTTTTATTTTATATATATATATATATATATATATATATATATATATATATATATATATATATATATATATATATATATATATATATGACTTTAGATGGTTATTTGTTTAAATGATTTTAGGTACTTTATTTCAATGTCTCTTGTTTGATGACATTTATGACTATAATTTATTTTTAATAAAAATTTTGGTGTTTACAATTTTATCATGTAAAAAACAGGTTATTTAGTAACGCTCTAAATGTTATTATAGATGCTATTACAGAACCGCACCATTGTACATCTTGCGATGTTAAAAAGTGCCTTTACATATTGTTAGATAGTGTGGTAGTTTACCTCTTACGACGCTTAAAAGTGCCTTTATAGGCTATAGGTAAGTGCGTTACATAAATAATGCCGGCGCTTAAAAGTGACGCCAAAAGTATAGAAAAGCACTCCCTTACAAGCTATGGCGGCGCTTACAAGTGCCTTGGTAGGCTGTGTACTATGCGGGTTCCAAGGAATTGGCGACGCTTACAAGTGCCTCTATAAGATGCCAAAAAGCACGTCAAGGTCGCGACGCTTTTTTAAACACTATATCGACGTTATTAAATAGTGTCGCTATAGGGTCTTGCGGCACCGGCTTAAACGACACTTTTCGTGGCGTCGGTAAAGGGTCTAGCAGCGCTTTTTTGCGTCGCAGGAGCCCATTTCTTAGTGTCGCAATATCCCTTTCCTGTACTAGTGCATGGCCATTCTCTACATGGGGAATCGACATCATCGGCAAAATCACTCCCCCAGGAACAGGAGGCCACGAATATATCTTAGTAGCGATTGATTACTTCACAAAGTGGGTCGAAGCGCAATCATACGCTAAACTCACTGCAAAACATGTAGCACTCTTTATCGAAAGAAATATTATTTGTCGATACGGAGTCCCACATGAAATGATAAGTGACAATGGAACTCACTTTCAAGCCGAATGTGAAGAATTGCTACAAAAATATGGCATTCAACATCATCATTCTTCCCCTTATAGGCCTCAAGCAAATGGAGCAGTCGAGGCAGCTAATAAAAACCTAAAGACTATCATCGAGAAAATGACGGAAAATTATAAGGATTGGCCTGATAAACTTCACTTCGCATTGTGGGGTTACCGCACGTCAATTCGCACATCAACAGGAAACACGCCATTTTCCTTGGTATATGGAATGGATGACGTACAACCTGTCAAACTAGAAATACCATCTCTACGCATTGCGTTAGAGAGTAAACTCGATGAAGTTGAATGGACTAGGGAAAGATATGAAGAATTAATTCTACTCGACGAGAAACGACTAGAAGCTCTACATCACACTCAGTGTTATCAAACTCGCATGGCTAGGCATTTTAATAAGAAGGTCAAGACAAGAAACATCAAAGTAGGAGACTTGGTGTTAAAAGCACTAAGAAAAAATGTTTTAGATCCAAGGGAAAAATTTAATCCTAATTGGTCCGGACCCTACATTGTCAAAACAATCCTGTTAGGAGGTGCAGCAAAACTAACTGATATGGATGACAACGAGTTCTCAAACACGACAAATCTTGACCAACTTAAGAAGTACTACCCATAATTACTTGAGTAGGATACTCAAGAGAGCTACGTTTGGCCTGATTCCTTAAGAAAGGATACGTAGGCAACCCTTTACGGGTGCGTCCACCTTATTTTTCGACATTCTCGCGTCCCAGAATTAATTAAAATTCGACAGAAGATCGGCGAAATATCGGCGTCGTAGAGAAAGCTCTGGCGCCAGCCAACAACCATCAACGCCAGTCGATGGAATGGGCGCCTGGCGCTAGACTTCCCTGGCAGGCGCCAGTCGCAAATAAGTGGCGCCAATTCACAGACAAATCTTGGGCAAATTTCGGTGTTTTACGAAAAATTTTCGACTTCCGTACTCGAAAAATTTCTGGAAAATTAATTTTTTCGGTTTTCATTGCTTTAATAAAATAAATTTAAAGTAAATAATTTAATAAAAAGCTGAAATTTCATTAATAAAATAAAATTACATTGGAAAATTTGTCAGGAAAAACCTAATAAAAGACACTTTTTGTCAGGAAAAACCTATAAAGCGTTTTTGGCTCAAAAAAACCTAATAAATTTTTTTTTTGTTCAAGAAAACCAGACTCCCTATTCCGACGTTGACTGAACGTTTTCCGGCGTTGACCGTTACATGTGCCATGCACATGACCCTAAATTGACTATTTTACCCTCATTTGTTATTTACCCCTTTCCCTAATAACTTTTCTACCCAAATTAAATTCCCCCCTTTTTTATTCACTGTCTTCATCTTTCTCCATTGAAGAACGTCTCCATTGAAGAGCAGCGCTTATCTCAATTGAAGAACGTCTGAGCAGCAAGGTTAGTTCTTGAAATTTTTGCTCCAAAAATCAATTAATTTTGCAATTCTTAGTTTAATTGTGGATGTGGTACTGCGTTTGAATTTTTTCACGATAAATTTAGGGTTTCCCCCTAATTTCGTTTTTTCGTTTTTTTTTCTCAAATTTGCAGCATAATGGTTGTAGTGAAGGGTAAGAGATGCGATTGTGGGTTTCCTCTTGCCATGAGGACTTCATGGACTCATGAGAATCCAGGAAGAAAGTTCATGGCTTGCAAGTTTTACAATCCTGAAACAAGGCACAGGGGATGTGAAAAATTTGAGTGGGTTGACGAGGGTATACTTGATTGGCAGAGAGATGTAACTAATGTGTTGGTTGCAGAGAAGCATAGGCTAGCTACTGATCTGAACATTATTAAAGCAAGATTTGTCTACAATGAGCATGAGGACAGACTTGCCAAAGAATTGGAGAAGTTGAACAATAAGCTATGGAGGAGAAACAGTGAAGCTAGGCAGCAAATGAGTAGTAATAGGATTAAGTATGGGCATGTAATTAGTGTTTCTGTTCTTATATCTGTTGTTGTGAGTTTTATGTTTGTGAAAATCTTTGGCTAGGATAGTTATGAATGCCATGGATGAATTGTAACTCTTTGGCAAGAGTATGATTTGTATTTTGTATGAAATTTCCACAAAACTATGTTATTTGAATTATGAGGAATGGAAATATGCTTTTTATTTTGTGAAAAGATTGGTTGGTATTGGTAAATTAAAGTGAAAACAGAAGCTTAATAACAACATTTGCATATCAAGTAACAGGAGCTTAATAATCATGGCAGCTTAATAATCATGGCAGCTTAATATATTCATTGCCTTACACAAAAGGACTAAGTACATAAGCATAGTTCAAATTTCAAGTTTGTTCACAACCATAACTTGTTACAACCATAACCATATTGTTCAAAATGCATCAGTTTTGAAGGCAATTAGTACTGACATCAGTGTTACAACAAGTGTTACAACCATAACTTGTTAACTACCCATAGCAGGAGGATCTTGGGATTGTGTTAATGGTGGAGCATCTCCATGACAGATTGAAATATGGACTTGGTTGGCAGAGGTAGAACGCTTCTTCTTTTGGGAACCACCCTTTCTTGCCACACTTTTTCTCCTTCTGCCAGGAGGTGAAGATGCACTGGCACCAGCAGCAGCAGCATCAGAGGTACCAGTAGCATAAGAAGCAGTGGCACCAGCAGCAGAGACACCAGCAACAGATTCAGAAGACCTTTGACCAACACCAACTTGCTTCCTTCCCTTAGGTTTAGGGACTACTTGTTGAACAGGGTTATTGCATTTGGTCTTGTAATGACCAAGACCTCCACACCTACTGCACCTATTCTTCTTCTTAGCCCTTTTCACATTTCTCCTCTCTTGATCTTCTCCTTGTTCCCTCACCCTCTTCTTCTTGCTAGGCCTGCCAGGCATCTTTCTATGTGAAGGAGGCAGGGGTTTAGGGTAAGGAGTCACCTCCCATTGGGATTGGCCAGGCATGGCTTTAAAAGAAGGGGCATAGGCTTTTGCATAGGTAATGACATGGTAGGCAGGGTGAATGAAGTGTTCATAGTTCAACCTCTTTAGTTGTATGCAAGCTAGTGCATGCCAACAAGGTATACCCATAAGTGTCCACCTATAGCAACCACAAGTCTGAGTTTCTAAATTCACCACAAATGTGTCATCTCCATGATCAACTTCAAATTCATTAAGGTCAGCTTGGTTAATTCTCATTGAACCAGATTCTTGCAAACCCCTATGAACCATTTTGACTACACTAGGCATTATCTCACCCTCAAAAATTTTCAATCCCTCCTTTTTAGCAAAGCATCTAGCCAAAACATATCTCCTAATCCATTCCATCAACTGAAGAATGGGTTTACATCTAGCCTCTCTAAGGACATTATTGAAACTCTCACAACAATTATTCAGCAACATACCAGATTTGCAAGAAGATGTAAAAGCATGCCTAGACCAATGAGCTGGAGGGATATCATTCAAGTATTTGAAAGCTTCTTCATTCAATTTCTTAATACATAACATATGCTTCTCAAATTCATGCTGAAATGAAAAAGAAAGTGTTACAAACAAAAGGGAGGGAATTGCATCATATTACATCATATTACTATATAACATAAGCTAAACAATCAAGACCATATATACCTTTGTTGATGCTCTTGCAGCCCTCTAGAACGGCTCTTTGTACACTACACCTGGGAACTTCCCCTTGAAGTTTGTCCATATATGCCTACAGCAGTATCTTGTCTCTGCATTTGGCATAACTTCTCTAAATGCATCTAGCAGACCCTGCAACTTACATTAGTTATATCAACATAGCACTAACCAACAACATAACAAAATGAATACAATTTTGCCTTTTGCCTATCACTCATGTATGTGGGGTCCTCTTTCTCATGCACCCAGGTGACAGAAGAAGCCACTGATCTAAGGTCTTCTTTAAGCAAGCTCAGGAACCAAGTCCATGTCTCTGAGTTTTCAGTTTCCACAATTGCCCATGCAACAGGGAAGATGTTCTGATTTCCATCTTTTCCCGCTGCTGTCAATAGGATCCCAGGATATGGTCCCCTCAAGTGAGCTCCATCAACACCCGGGATAGATCTACACCCAGCCACAAAGCCTTCCTTGCATGCTTGAAGACAGATGTACAACCTATGAAATACAGGTTTTGGAGTGTCAATCCCTGCTATCTTCACCTTAGCAGTAGATCCTGGATTATATTTTATGATAGTTGCTGCATAATCCCAGACTCTACTGTACTCAGCCTTTGCATCTCCATATATCATCTTCATTGCCTTATCTCTTGAATAATATGCTATGTAGTAATTAATCTCAACCCCAATCTCTCTCCTTGCTCTGTTCCTAAAAGCACTCAGCCTCATACAGGGATCATCCCTCCAATCCTCAAGATACCTTTCAGCCAGGTATTGTGATGAAAGTTTGGAGTTGTGAATCTGATGGCTACAAATATGCTTCAACTCCAAGCTCTTAATCTTCCATGTCTCTTCATCTTTCAATTTTGCACAGTATATCCTAAATCTACACTCATTTTTCACTTTGCACTTGCATATGGTAATCCTTGCTCTCTTCCAAGGACATCCACATCTCTTAGAGCAATACACTGTGACCCTACTCCTATTGTTATGCAAGTAGTAGTAGTCATACCCATTCTCAATTGCATGGTGTCTAAGAGCCTTCCTAAGTATGTTGTTTGATGGAAATTTTAAACCTTTACTCAACATAATCTTACCCCTAAAATCAGTTTGTGGATTAAATACAGGGTACTCAGGAGCTTCCTCATCTGATCCTACTATGCTGGACACATCATCATCACTCTCATCCAAATCCTGCTCCTCATTCACATCAAATTTGTGCTGATTAATTTCCTCCTCAACTTCTTCCTGAAATGGAGGAGGCTGAGGTACAACACCTAGAGTTCTATTGATCCTCTCTGTGATGTCACTCACATGAATTTGATGAAACAAATCATCATAATCCTGGTCATCATAGTCATCATCAGTTAAATCAACACTATCTTCACTATCAGATCTAACTATGCCACCATCCTCTTCCTCAATCTCTTCTGTCTCACCCTTCTCCTTCTGACCCTCCTATTCTGTCTCACCCTTCTCCTTCTGACCCTCCTCTATCTGATCCCCCTCTATCTGAAAAGGAACTGTAAAAACATCACCAATTTCTTCCCAGAAACTGTCATCAGCATCAGCCCCTAACCCAACTGCAGGCTCCTCTTGTCTACACTGATTACTGCATTCAACTACAGCCCCCAACCCAACTGAACCCCCAGCCTCTGACTGTGTTGTTGCCCCCTGAACTTGTTTTTGGTGTAATTTTTTTTGGACTTTGAAAGAGTTGGTAGCTTCTCTAATCTACCATCAACTAAATAGCATGACTTAATTGAAAGGCCAGGGTTTTGTGAGAGAGAGCAAGTTTTTTTTGTGGTGGTGGTGCTTTTTCTGTGTGTTTTGTTGTTGTGTGTAGTGTGAGGCTGTGTCAAAGAGGCAGTTTTTGATGGAGGGCAAGACAAAGAAATATGTGTTTTTCCTTCAGATCTAGGGTTTTGGTGGTCCCCATGTTTTGTGCTTGCTGACTCATTAACACTAACCCCATTATCAGCCATGTCACTACACTTCCTACTGTCCAATTCAGAATCTGAGTAAAATCCCACCCCAATACCATGACTCAATGTGTTGTGAGGTTGCTTTTTTGGTTTATGGACCAAGTACAAGTCGAACCAACCATCTTTTTCAGGTGATTGCAGAAACTCAGGAATCTCAACATCACTCTTTATAAGCTTCCTACCATTAAACAAAGTACACCCCTTCCTCCTAAACCAGATTTCCCCTACTTCATCATATCCTAACTCCCTCTTTATCCAGTCCACAAATTCAAAATAGCACACCTCCTCTACATTAGGATGAAGTGACACTCCATAAAACCCACTGTTCCCATATTCATATCTGGTAACATTGTTCTTTGTAACAAAATCCCCCCCATAATACACCCTTATATGTACTGCCTCCATAAATTTATACCAACACTCGAATATATTATCCCTACCGTTAAACCTGAAGCAATTACATGCAAACCAACAATAAAAAAACCAAATAAAATATTAGACGCAACTCCAAAGACCCCAATTTTTAATTAAGCATGCATAATTCCAATAAATTACCCAGCTTGCACATTCCCAATTACCCAACAACATATGAATTTTTAATTAAGCATGCATAATTCCAATAAATTGAATCAAAAAATTCTTACCTAGGTTTTCGAATTATTTGGTAATTGGTCCCCTTTAACCTACTTGCTGCCTTTAGTACCTTCTTTGACGCTTTCTTCCTTGATTTCTTTCCTTTCATGGCAGAAGCAGAGCAATATTCAGAACAAAATTTAAACCCAAAAATAACCAAAACAGGACCCATTACATAATTAATTGAAACTTACTGTTTGGGGAGCATGAACATTCAAAGCTCTGTAATCGCAGGTGCAGTTTTCTTCAGAGATGGCAGCCTACAACTAATGAAGAGAGAGAGACAATGACGGACGAGACGTTCTTCAATGGAGAGAGATGAAGACAGTGAATAAAAAAGGGGGGAATTTAATTTGGGTAGAAAAGTTATTAGGGAAAGGGGTAAATAACAAATGAGGGTAAAATAGTCAATTTAGGGTCATGTGCATGGCACATGTAACAGTCAACCCCGGAAAACATTCAGTCAACGTCGGAATAGGGAGTCTGGTTTTCTTGAACAAAAAAAAAATTTTATTAGGTTTTTTTGAGCCAAAAACGCTTTATTAGGTTTTCCTGGCAAAAAGTGTCTTTTATTAGGTTTTTCCTGACAAATTTTCCAATTACATTATTGATGGAAATTTTAATAAAGCTGAAATAAATTGACTTTAAATAAAAATATAAACTAAGTCTAATAATTTGAAATTAAGCAATGCTCCTAATCTTTCTTTTCTTTCCTAGCCCTTTTCCAATTTTTGTCTGCTTCTTCCTCGTCATCCATAACCTTATCTAGTAGGCATCCTTTAGAGGACTTACATTCAATTTTAGAGTAGATGGTCTCCTCTTCAGCTAGGACTCCACGCTTCTTTTCTACCCAAGTTTTTTTCTCTGTGGTGTCAGCTTTCCTTTTTCCTTTATCTTTTGTAGTACTTTTCTTCCAAGGCATTATAGGTGTTTTAAAATCAACTCTTGCACCTAAGCGTTCCTTGGCAGGAATCACCCTGTCACCTAGACGACTCTTCACTTCAGTTTTACCCTGATCTTTCTTCGAATCCTTCGAAGGTTTCTTCAGCAACCACTTCTTCACATCATTAGGCAAAGAAGGAGGAACCTTTTGGGTAATCACTTCCCATAAAGGTCTAGCACTCCAGTAAGCATCAAATCTGTCTACTTCCTGGAAACAGGGTACTCATAGGGAGGACGAAGATCCCCGGAAGTTATATTCTGAAGCAAGTCGTATTGTCTTTTTACCCTGCAGGGATAATAATAAGTCATACGAGACAAACTTGGAAGACGGCAGAAAGGTTGCTTATTGACACCAACCATCCTTTCTATTTTCCACCATAGGACGACCCACTTGATATCAAAATTGCGAGATTCGAAGACCTTTCTCCACCCATGGCGCCCAATTTTAGGGAAGCGTTTCTTCCTCCTCACGAAGCAATTGGGAGTGTAGTTCTCAATATTGTCCGGAGGGCTAATTACTTCTAGCCTTTCCATTAGCCATATCTGTAAAAAATTGCAATGCAAATAAATTATTATTACAATATAAAAATATATTTTTTGATTCTGTAATTAAAAATATTATTTTTCTACCTGTAATAAAATCGGAGAGCCGCGAAAAGGTGCTTTTGGGTTCCTTTTCAATTCACCAAGACTAATCATAGTCTCTCCAACTATCAATGGCATTGGATTTCTCCCTTATTCAATTTGTTCTAGTACGGTAGTTATAATTGATTGGCCTTCATTATTTTTACCACTACTAAGAAAAAATTGATTAAGCATGCAAAATAAGAAAGCCCTTCTTCTATATATATGAAAAGACTCAGAAAGAGGTTTATCAAAATAATGGCGTGCAAATTCTTTCAGATTAACTATATTGCCATCTACTATTTTTGATAAATCCCTTTCTTTTAAATTAAAGAAGCGCTTAAAATCCTTATAATAATATGCATCTACTCTAGGGATTACTATGAGGTCTATTGCACGGAAGCCTAAAGTAGCACCAAATTCTTCTGGCAAAGGGCTAATCTCATCATACCCTATTCTAAAGCAATGAGTATCAACATTCCAAAATTCTAGAGCGGTATGAATGAAATCTAGGTCAAGATCTACCCCTTTAATGCCATAAATTCCCCCCAAGTGAAACAAATCTAATTCTTTTCTGTCTCTAGCATTAAGGGATCGACACCATTCATGGGTGTATTGAGTGAAAGTTTTGGTGACTAGAGACATGGTATTATTTTTCTAAGGCAAAGAATTATTTTATTCGCTGGAATTATGAAAGATTAGGCTGAGGCAGGGGGCTATATATGCACGATTTACGAGCAGTTTTTATCAGGATGAAATACGGAAACAGCGCCAATTGGCGCCAGAATCCGCAATTGGCGCCAGACGCCAAGGCTTGGCGCCACACGCCAAGTGTAGCGCCTGGCGCCAGCTGGCGCCAATTTGCCATGTCAGACGCGCTTTCTTAGATCGCGTTTTTACCTTAATCCGAGTCTGCTAATGACTTTACGGCTTTTTATCTTTT